TTCCTTCTCCCCCCGGGCGGGCGGGCGGGCGGGGGGGCGGGGGGGAGGGAGGGAGGGAGGGAGGGAGGGAGGCTCTCCCCACAGACATACCCCAGTACCACCATCACCAACTAGCAAGTATCAAAAAGCCATGGTCCATTCAGTGCCCTGTACCCATCAGTACAGACAGTAATGAACACACAAAGCATGACCTAAACTCTGGTGAGAAATGCCTCTATTCCTGTCCTCACAGAAATTCCTGGATCCTCCCTACTGGTCCATGCTTAAGGAGAGATGGGTTAAACTGCACAGTTCGAGCTGAGGCGCTCTGGTTACAGACAGGAGCACTGCAGAGCACAGTGGTGCCGAGGGCTCCGTGTTTCCCAGTCAACTCCAACAAGTGGAATCTCTTTCTTAAAGAAACTGTGCATTCATCTGTGCACAATGACATTAATCCTTCTTTCCCCTCTGCTCTCTGAGTACCACTGGGTCAGAAGAGAAAATGGACAAATGACAGGCTTGTCAAAAGTTACCCCTTGTGACAATTCAATTGGAATCTGGGGCTTTGTGTCCCAATCCCCTGAAAGGACACATACCATTTAAAGAAAAGAATTGTTCTCAAGAAAACTCAGGTTAGTATTCTCACACAGTGCACCTGTGCCCATCTTTTCCTTTTTAAAGTTTTTCTCATTACTGTCGGCTTTTAACTGGAGGCAATGCCAAGCATTTCAGAAAACGTGCTATTGGTGCTGGTTTGGTAACCCCCCTCCCCCATGATATACACAGCTAAAGCAGGCATTCCAGGGGTTTTCCCCAACATCCATATAGGAAGTAAGTTTTCTCTTAAATGGCATCTATGTCTTTGGCTGGCATCAAGAACCTTCCTATGAACACTCGAGTAACATGTGCCCAAACAACTCTGTGTAAACAGTTTCCACACCTGATAGTAAAGACCCGGAAAAATATATGGAATTCAAGATGTGCTCAAGAATACACAGAAAGCTTTCAGGAGAGCACAACCAGAAAAAGGGACTTCAGTCCCCAGCTTCGGCTCTATCTGCCATGCCAAAGGCCCCTCTCGTGCCCTGCATCTTACTGTGGTAGCCCCATGAGGAGGCCACTTAGTGTTTTCTAGTTTCTCTTGCATAACAAACATCACGAGAGAGTTCTATGTGGAGAAGCCAACTCACTAGCATCCTTCCATAAGGCAGGGCTGCTATCACAGCTCCCAGCAGCCTAACAAGTTCAACAGCTAATGCATTTCCCACCAGCTAAACCAATGCCCAGGACTGCATGCTCTGGGGCTGCATGCTCTGGGGCTGCATGCTTGGAGACTAATCAAATTTCTGAAGGAAGGCTACTTTTGATTGGAAGGAATTTAAGGCTTTTGTTTTAATTAGTAATCTACAGGGAAAGTTTTTAAGCTATCTTTCCATATTGGCACATGTAGAACAGACAGAATTAGACAATGGTATAATTAGACACAGACGGATTCATATTTTGACAAATTTGACTACTGTTCTTCCTTTGACTATGAAATTGCTACTTATCCTTCAGATTTAAATGGTTCTTCCATGGGACACCATCCCAAGCCCAGGAGGGAATCTCTTTAAAACTCTCACATAGTCTCTTGTATAAGGTCTGTCCTACAATTTCAATTATAAATTATGAAGAGAAACTCTTTAGGGGAATTACTTCTTCTCTAGCCTCACAGTTCTTTGACAGTAGATAGCTTTTTTAAAAAAAATTTCCATACTACAGTATATCTTGAGCCTCTGGTATTCAATTTGATGCACAGAGGCACTAATTCAGTATTTGTTGTGTGCTGAAGAATTGGCTAAGTGAGTTTTACAAGTGCTAGATAGACAGTGTATCTACAGAGAAAATGATGGGAAATACACATACATGTTCATACGCTCACACACATGGACAATTCCTGATGTCTATGTTTAGTTGGCAAAAGTAAACATACTATATAAGATTCTATCAGGAAAACACAATTTCTATTTCTTGCCAAACTAAATGAAGACAGACAAATGTTGTATTTGTATGGACAGATTATTTCTCCCAACACCCAAATAAAAATTGGGGTTTGCTGTTTTTAATGAACAAATTAGTTTGTAGATCCTGTTTTTCAAGATATCCTAGACTAAATTTCTTCTGTAGCACTTCGAAAAGGACATGTGACTTTCTATGCTAGAGTTCCAAGGCACAGTTACAACTCTATTCAGGGCTGCAGTATTAGCTGACTGCTACGTCATATGAATACACAATCTAACTATGTATGCATGTGTTGGTAGAAATATCTTGAATAGTATCTGTAATAAGTCAGATACCCTTAGTGCATATCTTGAATGTTAGCTATTCTCTTCTGATTTAAATAATCTATTGACCTTTTAAATGATTTCTTTGTTGTCCCCCCCCCCCCAATTTTTAGTCTGTACCTAGAAAACATCCCTAAAGATTTATTTCTCTTCATTTCAAATCTCCCATATTTTAATGTCCTAAGTCTTAGCTCTATATCACAAGTCACCTGGACAGGCATAGTTTTCACATGATCTGTCCACTGCAAACAAAAGGGAGTTAGGGGTTAGTGCCTCCAACCACTAAAGTGAAAACAACTGAAAATGTTAGATAGCTGATAGAGTGTTTGGAATTTCTAGTACAAATATTCAACAGGAATACTGAGAACTTTAAAGGGAGTTTTAATTATTAAGGTTCTACACATGGGCTGGAGAGAGGGCTCGGTGGGTAAGAGTGACTGCTGA